TTGTTTACATCAGCTACATAAGCTAGACATAATATTGTTGTACAGATAACGGGATGAATTTCTTCCCATGAGAAAATCCTGACATCTTCCCAGACTGAAACTCCAGTTCCCAAGTCAGCCGGCCACAACAGTGTGAAGTCCTCAGGGAGGTGCCAGTCTTGTAGTTCCCACGGTCCATCGGCGAGCTAAGAAAATGCTTATCTCCCTGAGCCTGGCCTTCATAATTCCATTCCATCACAGTTTGACTGGAAGGAGAATTTATCTTTTGTTAAGTTTTTGTGAACCAGATGCATGAAATGCTATTTCTAGTTAAAGCACCCATTGTTTGTAGAAGGGGGTTAGAATGATTAACAGTGGGGTTAGGGCAGAAATGTACTAAATTAGACATTTTTACATTAGTGAACTAATTAACACATGCAGAAAAATAGAAAAGCATTGTTTCTATTGTTCTATTGTTTCTATTAAAGCATTGTTTAAAGACAAGCATTGTCTTTAAAACATAGAATACAGTTGAACTACATGATGGGTTGTAATTCAGCTGTTGTGTTTTCAGAAAGTTCTGTTTTTCAAGAATTGACAGGTCTTGGGAGGTTCCTCCAATTGCATTTTCTTGTCAGTGAAACTGGTTATTGTAGTACAGTTTCCCTTAAAGTAGTGCTCTCCAAACTTGTTCAGTTTGCACAGTCACCAGGCAACATGTCTATTGATTAGATTATTTTGCAGAAAACAGAATTGGCATGATGGGAGTTTTATTCCAATATGTCATAAATTCAGACTCCTACTGCCTCATCATTATTGCACAGAGAAAAATTATATACTTTACCGAGATTCTTTTAAGAATGTTCTTTAAAAAATCAGCCATTTTCTGTTAATATGTAGGCATGTGTTTCATTCTCTTTTGTGTGTGGCATGCAACCAAGACACTTGCACATTTATTATGTCTTTCAGTAATTAATTAACTAATATATACTGCTTTAATATACAAACATATTTAAAACAACCATTGTCTTTATGTAGCTGCATCCTTCTTTTCAAGAACTTCTATATTTATCATTAAGTGGCTCTTTTTTTCTATCCTAATTTTTATCACTATTTGGAAGTCATTCTGTTTGTGATTTTTGTTTTCACATTTTAAAAAGTATGGAAAATATAGTAAGGAAAGAAAAAAAGAGAAAACAATATAAACAATAAAATACAGATGGATAACTAACAAATCTGGAATAACCAGCAGATCTAAAGTTTCATATGGCTAATATGTTCTAATATACCATTAACAATTTAAGTACTATAAGACATTTCATATCCAATTTCTAGTCAAAGCATGTCTCGATTGAACTGTGAAAAGGTTTGGCACAATTGAAATCAATAAGAGGAAAAAGAAAAGCTATATATAATAAACACTACATTAAATACTACAAATAATATGCATGTTATATATCAGATTAAAGTATGAATTCTAGAAGCCAAATTTGGGATGTGGCTATACAATTCCATGTATAGATTGTAGTCTAGAAATGGTTTCTAAATAAGATTGATTTGTACATCAGATTTATTTTTTAGATATGAAATTATTCTAGACATTGAAGCATATTCCCACAGTTTAATTAACCATTCTTTCATAGATGGGATCAGAGATCTTTTCCAATGAAAAGCATATAGAATTCTTGTAGCTTTATTATATACAATACCAGTTCAGTGTATTAAGGAATAGTGAAGTTTAATCAAACTGTTGGAATGGAATTACTACTTTCAAAATTTGTTCCATTCCACAATGAATTAATTTCCAGTATTGTTGAGCTTTACAATATTACCACCACATATGGAAGAAAGATCCTATCTGTTCTTGCATTTCCAGGATTTTGGAATTATGTCAGCAATTATGACTTGAATAATATACCAGTGATAAAACATCTTGTACCAGTTTTCTCTAAGTAAAATGTTTGAGGTGAACTTGATGCTCTTTTTCCATTGAAATTCACATTGTTCCATCTCTATAACTATATTCAAATTTTGCATCCATTTAATCATAACAGTGTTTAACCTGTTCAGGCTCTGAATTGTATTTCACTAATAAATTGTAAATTGAACCTGGTAAATATTTCGTATTATGAGTTATAAGATTTTCAAATTCAGTGAAATTTCTCAATAGTCTCCCTTGCTTCCATAGTTTTCTTGTGGCAGTACTGCTTATTTGAGAATATTGGAACCAACTGAATGTGGAAGAGCATTTTGTAACAAAAGACTCAAGAGATCTTACTTTTGTCCTGTTAATAATAACATCTTGTAATGTAAACAGATTATTGTCTCTCCATTGAGCAAATTTCTTATTTTTTAATTCTTCATAAAAGTAGAAATTCAGTAAGGAAGCAAGAGGGGATAAGTCTAGGTTTACTCTTTCTTACATTTATCCCAAACATTCAGTAAGTTGCTCAGTACTAGATAGTTCCTTAAAAATTGTTTATTTCTGTGTATATCAACCCAAATATATTGGCAAGCCCTGTAGAAGGTCTGCCTCTTCCATTAAAGTGATGGAACTATGAGATAGAATCTATTCTGAAATCCATGACACAAGTGGCATGATAGTACAAACTGAAATTCAGAGCTACTAGGCCACCTCATTCTTTTGAAGCTTGCAAGTTCTTGAATTTAGTCCTTGGCCTTTTGTTAGACCATACACTTATGTGTGCTAGTTGTTTAATACCTCATTGTCAATAGGAACTGGAATAATTTGAAATAAAAAAATTAGTCTTGGTAAAAATATTCATTTTGACTGCTGCCATTTTTCCTAACCAAGACAAATATAATTTCTTCCATTTAGGAATATCTGTCATGATGTGTCTCCAAACTGATGATTAATTGTTCTTGAATGGATCCTTATTGTTTTTTGTCAAAAAGATTCCTAAATATTTAACCTTTTTAGCAGTAATGTTAAAGCCAGTTAGACAGAAGATGAAAAGTAATTTGTGTATTGGCTGACTGACCTTTATCCTTCTTAACTGTATATGCCTCTAAATATTTTTAATCCTGCAATTCAAGATTCTTGTTTCTTTCAAAGGTAAAAGGACCATCGCTATCTGATCCAGATGTTCTAGTAGATTTGTTCACCCCATGTTCTCCAGGAGAGCCCAGTGCCATTGAAATGACATGGATGGACGTGCCAGGAGATAAACTTCTGGAACCTGTTGTTAGTATGGTAAGTTTTCAGTTGCTATGAATATTTTGACTTCAGCCTACTGTGCCATCTTAGAATAAAGGTCATAGATTCATAATTAAATCAGGGCCCTATTTTCAGAAACTTCAAGTATCTTCTAAATCCTTATGGACTGCAACAGTAGTATGACACATGGCAAAGCATGCCTGCCGCAAAGCAAATTGAACCCTATATCTGTCCCTACAGAGACTGAGCTCCTCCCTTCTGTGTACATTAGAACACAGAAGGAAGTGTCTTTTTCCTTCTCTGTCTGAAAATCAAAAACTTTGTGTATGTTTGTCATTCTGTACCAATCTGTCCAAAATGTTGCTGCTTCATTACATCTACGGGCTTTATGTTAAGAGAAAGCAGTCTGATGCCTTTCAGGTGTTGTGATCTACAGATCACATAAGCCCTGCATCACAGCCCCTGATCTGGGATTTTAAAAAATGATAACAAAATCCCCAGAGAGCACCAGCCTGCCTTCTTCTCTTTTATTATGGGAATCCTACTGGCTTCTATGCTAGCTTATAACCACTCTACAGACAAAACTTGGAAGCCAGGGTTCTTGTTTTTGTTGTTATTGTTGTTATTGTTATTGTTATTTTATCCCTCCTTTTTTATATATATCTCAAGGCAGTGAACATACTTAGTACTCCTGCCTCCTATTTCCCTACAATAATAATCCTGTGAAGTCTGAGAGAGAGTGATTGACCCAAAGTTACCCAGCCAGTTTTCATGCCCAAGGCAGGCCATGAACTCACAGTCTCCTGGTTCCTAGGCCAGCAGCTTAACCACTACACCAAACTGGCTCATATTACACTACCTTAGCTTAGCTTAGCTTAGCTTCGCTTCGCTTCGCTTCGCTTCGCTTCGCTTCCCTTC